GTGCAGTGTATCTCATTAACAGAACTCCTTCTGGTTTACTCCACAATAAAACTCCCTTTGAAATTCTCTTTGGCCAGGCACCTGAGTTTGATGAACTTAAGGTATTTGGTTGTTTAGCTTTTGCCCACAATCAAAAGGCCAAAGGTAATAAATTTGCTCCTCGAAGTAGGAAGTGTGTTTTTATTGGTTATCCACATGGGAAGAAAGGGTGGAAGTTATATGACCTTCAGACAGGTGACATCTTTGTTTCCAGAGATGTAAAGTTTCATGAAAATGAATTTCCTTACGAGACTGTTTCTACTTCTCAAGTGCATGCTTATTCCTCGTCGCCACCGGATTCTAATGTGGGGATTGATGTTGATTTTTTGGAAGACTTGGAGTCTGCTTTGGTTGATGATCATGCAGCCCCTGCGATTGGGACTGACATTGCGCTAAATCCCACATTGCCTCATGTGCCCCCTGCACTTCTGTCTCCTCCTGCCTCCACCGATGACTTAGGGCGCGGGTTGCGGGATAAGCGTCCTTCCGTTCTTCTTCGTAACTTTGTTACCCACACTGTACAATCTTTGAGTCCATCTGAGTGTTCATCGTCTTCTACTAGCTCCTCAGGTACTCTTTATCATATAGCACATTATGTGAATTGTAATAAGTTTTCTCCACGACACCGTGTTTTTCTTGCAGCGATCACTGAAGGTATTGAGCCTCGTTCTTTTAAAGAAGCTATGCAAGATGAAGGTTGGCGCGAGGCTATGCAGAAAGAAATTGCTGCTTTAGAAGCTAATGGCACCTGGGAAATGGCAGTTTTACCTCCTCATAAAAAGGCTCTTGGTTCTAAATGGGTATACAAAATCAAATATCATGCGGATGGGCAAGTAGAGCGTCTTAAGGCTCGTCTGGTTATTTTTGGCAATCATCAAGTTGAGGGGGTTGATTATAATGAAACTTTTGCTCCAGTTGCGAAAATGGTCACTGTTCGTGCCTTCTTAGTAGTTGCAGCGGTCAAGAATTGAGTTTTGCATCAGATGGATGTTCATAATGCGTTTCTACATGGTGATCTTGATGAAGAAGTTTACATGAAACTTCCTCCTGGTTTCAAAGTTCGCACTCCTGGTTTAGTGTGTCGTCTCAAGAAGTCTTTGTATGGTCTACGACAGGCTCCACGGTGCTGGTATGCTAAGTTAGCTGCTTCTTTGAAGACTTATGGTTTCCTTCAGTCTTATTCAGATTATTCTCTGTTTACTCTACATCAGGGATCGATACAACTTAATGTCCTTGTATATGTTGATGATCTCATTATTTCTGGTAATGATGCTTCCGCTGTTGACCATTTCAAGGCCTATTTGCACGAGTGTTTTCATATGAAAGATTTGGGTGTCTTGAAGTATTTTCTTGGTATTGAGGTTGCTCGTAATTTCGAAGACATCTTCTTGTGTCAACAAAAATACACTCTTGATATTATTGGGGTCCNTGCCTTGAAGTATTTTCTTGGTATTGAGGTTGCTTGTAATTCCGAAGGCATCTTCTTGTGTCAACGAAAATACACTCTTGATATTATTGCTGAAACTGGCTTATTGGGGTCTCGTCCCGTTGGCTTTCCCATGGAGCAAAATCACACATTGGCTCTCGCCAAAGGCCCTTTGCTCGCCGATCCTGAAAGGTATAGACGACTTGTGGGTCGTCTCATTTACTTAACCTCCACCCGTCCTGACTTGGTTTATGCAGTTCATATCTTGGCTCAGTTTATGCAACACCCTCGTCAGGATCATTGGGATGCGGCGCTTCGTACGGTTCGCTACTTAAAAAGGTGTCCGGGTCATGGCATTCTTCTTCGCACTGATTGTGAGTTATCTCTGACAGGTTGGTGCGATTCAGATTGGGCTACGTGTCCTTTGACTAGACGGTCTCTTACTGGTTGGATAGTGTTTCTTGGAACTTCTCCGATTTCTTGGAAGACCAAGAAACAACATACGGTGTCCCGGTCTTCTGCTGAAGCCGAGTATTGTTCCATGGCTGTCGTCACTTCAGAATTGAAATGGCTCAAAGCTTTGCTTGTGAGTTTGGGTGTCACACATTCGCCAGCCATGCGCTTATACTGTGATAGTCAGTCGGCACTCTACATTGCTCAAAATCCTGTCTTCCATGAGCGTACCAAACATATTGAAGTTGATTGTCATTATGTGCGTGATGCCATTCGTGACGGTATTATTTCTACGTATCATGTGTCTACTGATGATCAGCTTGCCGACATCTTCACCAAGGCTCTTGGCAAGCGCAAGTTTCTGTACCTACTTGGCAAGTTGGGCATTTGTGATCTCCATGCTCCAACTTGAGGGGGGTATTAAGATTATACTAGAATATCTAATATTCTATTTTTAGAATATGTATATTCTGTTTTGGTCAATGGTATAATTGCCATATTATAGCCATATTTATTGCTTGTACGCATAACTATAGCCAGACTTTAGTTTGTAATATTGTATATATATTACCTACAGGTGAATCAAGAAGAAGAAAAAGGAAAATCAATTCTTTCATCAACGCAACAAAAACCTTGTCTTAAAAAACCCTAATTCTTCTAATGATATAGATACTAGGCTAGTTCCCGTGTTGGCTTTTTGGAATACTTGAAGAGAATTAAATTTGTGTGTGAAGCTCGTTTGGTTAGCCAAATAGGATCGCTGGTTCAAAGTTTGCCTACCATGCCATCCTGGTAAACTTTGACATTTTATCAGTAAGTGGAGGTTTATGTCCGCAAAACACCTTTGTTTATGCATAAGTTTTCCTTGCTTAGCTAAATGTTATTTTTCACTTATTTTGAAAATGGTGGGGAATTATTCTAAATTTTTTTTAAATGATAACTTAGTCTGTATGTATTTTAGTAGGGCTTTCAATGGAGTAATGATAACTTTTATAGAAAGTTGTGAAACGCCTCCCACGTTGGAAAGTCATGAGCAACAGGAGTGATCATATTCCAGCTAGAGGCGCATTGTGGCACTTTAGAATTGCACTTAGCACTTGGCACATAAGTATCGTAACGAGGATTTCATACGGTCGTAACTAGGAGTGATCAGATCATGACTATTAATTATTTGATTATTTTTTATCGGACGGTTGATGTCACAAATACATACGATCGTATGGAGGATTTCCTGTCTCATCATTTGATTGTGATCCATGATCAAATTATGATGGCTGGATATGGATTGTAGATCGCTAAAACGGACGATCGAATGGATATATTTAAATCTAAAAATGTCTATTAAAATATGATTGTTAGTAACGGTCGTAATTCAAATATTTACATGTCTATTAATTTACAAACATGTCTTTTTACTCTTGAACAGGCACAATACATGGTCAACGTCTATCTAAACAGACACCAAAAGGCCTCTAAATTGGCCAAAATTCTATCATTCAAGATTACTTTCAATTTCCTATAATATCTCTCTCCCTAAAGCTTGAACTCTATCTACTCATCATTATTTCCGTTTCCTATTTGCTGAAATATGTTTTCTACAAAAAGAAATTCAAGTCTCTTTGCAAACTAGAGAAATCTGTAGATATTTGGGTTTGACTTCATTTGTGTATTATGCAATGAAATATTGGATTTGATTATGCACTTCATTGTATTATGTAGGTAAATTCGATGCAACCTGGTATACATTGATTTACCAAAAGTGCTGGGGGCGAATATTGTCTTAGGGAAAAATGACTCAATAACATGATTTGAAGCATATTACAATCATCTTCTTCATTATAGAATTTTTGTAATAAAATATGCTTGGCAGTGGATTGATTGAAAAAATCCGACTAGAATAAACAATTATGGATTACTATATTTGATTGATTGTCTGAAATTCTCATATCATTTTTACGGATTTAGATTTTGATATACTAATAATAGTAAAATAACATATAAATATGCAATGAAATTAAGTGATTTGTGATAAAATTGCAGGGGAACTCATATCTTGCTAAAATTGAACTCATTGAATTATTTGGGTTGGGTCGAAATCTTGATTCTTACTCGGATTTTGGATATATATTATACAATATGAAATCCATCGGATCAAATAGAATTCAAATCCTCATATTTAAATATTGAGGGCTGGTTTGATGGGGACTTTCTTTTGTCTTCTATTGTATTTTTTTTTTTGGGATTTTTTGGATTTATATACATAACTTTGGAATGAACAAAGGGATTTTGTATTTTATGCAGTGAAATTTTCAATGAGTGTGGAATTCGTCTGTTAGTTGTTTATAGAATTAGATCTATTCATGTTTGTCGCCGTTCTACTTGTTGGATTTGATTGTATATGAAAACAACTACATCACATGCAACAAGCAGATTGTGGATTCATTTTTGTCTTGTGGGTCCTATTTATAAATGTATAAATTATGTTGTGCTAAAATTTGTACAAACCATAAATTATAGTTGGATTCCTGTCACGTTAATATTATCATATATAGTTCGTGTTTAGTCAAATTTGTGTCGTATTTAACTATGTTCATGTCGATCTATTTACTTAACACATCTAGTAGGTCTATACATTTATCACCTAACACTGCAAAGGTTAAAACTCAAACCAGTTAACTTTGTCATTTTGTATTTAGTTTGCGAAGTAGGTCTTGAATCATCAGGCCAAACACTGCAAAGGTTAAAACTCAAGCCAGTTAACTTTTGTCATTTTTGTATTTAGTTTGCGAAGTAGGTCTTGAATCATCAGGCCAAACAGTCATGACATGCTTTCAAGGCTACAAAGCTTACAGTCATTGTCGTAGAAGTTTCTTGACAACCCACAAGGCATATCCTGGAGTGTTACTAAGGCATGAGAATATCCTATACATATAGCTTTCTATCAACATCTTCTTGTTAGCCATAAACCTAGCTTTAAACGACCATTAAAATATGAAAATTTGTGGCAATTACTTTAGTACAACCTACTGTATATAATCTTGAACACCATAGATGAGTTCATCAATCAAGCCCATCAACAAAAATGGCTTCAGGCAACATTGCTGTGCTTAATGCTCTTGACACTGCACGAACCCAATGGTACCATATCACGGCCATTGTGATTGCCGGGATGGGCTTCTTCACTGATGCTTACGATCTCTTCTGTATTTCCACTGTCTCCAAACTCTTGGGTCGCCTTTATTATTACAATCCAGCAACAAATAAGCCTGGCAAGCTTCCTCATACAATTAACAATTTTGTTGTCGGTGTTGCCCTTGTTGGTACAATAACCGGTCAACTAGTCTTCGGTTGGCTCGGCGACAAGTTAGGACGGAAAAAAGTTTATGGTGTCACTTTAATACTTATGGTCATTTGTGCCATTTGCTCTGGCCTTTCTTTTGGCTACAGTGCTAAATCTGTGATAACCACACTTTGCTTCTTTAGGTTCTGGCTCGGATTTGGCATTGGGGGAGATTATCCGCTCTCGGCAACGATCATGTCTGAATATGCTAACAAGAAAACACGTGGGGCGTTCATCGCTGCAGTGTTTGCCATGCAAGGTGTTGGTATCATCTTTGCCGGGCTAGTGTCTATGGCACTTTCTAGTATCTTCCTTAGCAACTATGAAGGACCAAACTTCCAAACGAATCATGTTCTTTCTACAGAACCAGAAGCAGATTATGTGTGGCGAATCGTGTTAATGCTCGGAGCACTTCCAGCACTTTTGACTTATTATTGGAGGATGAAGATGCCTGAAACAGGACGTTACACAGCAATTATAGAAGGGAATGCCAGACAAGCCGCGNACCAGAAGCAGATTATGTGTGGCGAATCGTGTTAATGCTAGGAGCACTTCCAGCACTTTTGACTTATTATTGGAGGATGAAGATGCCTGAAACAGGACGTTACACAGCAATTATAGAAGGGAATGCCAAAAAAGCCGCAATTGACATGGGTCGTGTTCTTGATATCGAAATTCAAGAAGATCATGACAAGTTATCACAGTTCAAAGCTTCCAACAACTACCCATTAATCTCAAGAGAGTTCTTTCAACGCCATGGACTTCACCTAATAGGTACCATGAGTACATGGTTCTTGTTAGACATAGCTTTCTATAGCCAAAACCTCACTCAAAAGGACATATTTCCAACTATGGGCCTCACTAACAAAGATGTTAATGTGAGTGCTCTCAGAGAAATGTTCGAGACATCAAGAGCAATGTTTGTGGTTGCCTTGCTTGGCACATTCCCTGGCTATTGGTTCACAGTCTATTTCATCGAAAGCATGGGTCGATTTTACATTCAACTAATCGGGTTCTTCATGATGTCCGTCTTCATGCTTATTATGGGTATCAAATATGATTACCTTAAAAATGAAGAGCACAAATGGATTTTTGCAGCTTTGTATGGATTGACATTCTTCTTTGCAAATTTTGGTCCAAACAGCACAACATTTGTTCTTCCAGCTGAGCTTTTTCCCACTCGTTTGAGATCCACGTGCCATGCATTGAGCGCCGCTTCTGGGAAGGCTGGCGCGATGATTGGGGCGTTTGTCGTGCAAAGCTACACATTGGATGGCGATATTAAAAAAATAAAGCATACGATGATATTTTTGGCATTCACAAACATGCTAGGGTTCTGTTGTACGTTCTTAGTGACGGAGACAAAAGGGCGATCATTAGAGGAAATTTCAGGCGAGGATGGTGGTCAGAATGAGACGCAGATGACCAATAAACAACGGGTGACTCTCCCAGAGGCCTCATGGGAGGGATAGAAATAAGTGGTCTTTGTCTTTGCCTGAAGGTTGGGGTTAATAAATGGGCAAAAGGTAAATTTTTTTGCCTGAAGGTTGTGTTGGGTGATGCGTTTTGGATCTTCCATAAATAAGAGAAACGGAGACTTCTTTTGCTTTTTGAATTAAAGTGTGATTTTAATGAAACTGAATACAAATATGGATAAATGTTTATATATTTCATAAGATCTTCTTTTGGTTTGTTTTTGTGGTGATATATGTTTTTGGTATGTTTTGTAATTTAATCTAATACTTATATTCATCTTATGCAGAAAACGCTCTTGGGATTGTGTTGATTATTGTGATATATAAGTGGATTGCCCGCAGAGAGTAGACATTGGTATACGTAGTTGAATGTGTAGTAATTTGAACAAAATACGTTAACACGACACAAAATTAACATTTGTTAGAGTTGATTTAATCTTCAAATGGACCTGAAAATGACACGACATGCTAACTTAGTAATTAACTGATTTGATTAGTGTGAAACACGAATCATCTAAAATTGACATAATTAATATGTTTAATTAATATTGTATGAACAAAATGCCACATTTTTTTCATTTTTTTTTTTGAAGTATTGACGTGAATCCTTATAAAGCAAGAGTATTTTTTATTGTTCTTAACATTACAAAGATTCAGTGGATTTTTAGTTTATGAAAAAATCATGGTTTAACAGAAAATATAATTTTTAATAGAGTCCAATGATGAAACATAATTCATGTAGTTGAGGCAAACAATATTGGGACAATGTTGAGTTAAGTTGGACCTAGTAGAGACATAATGAAAATTTAAACTGGTGTTTGTCCCAATGAAAAATCAAATGCCAGTGTGTTTGCCAGAACCGGTGACCGAAAATTACTATTCTTGGAGTTTAAATAAACGACAAAAATTTAGTTTTTTTTTTTTTTTTTTTTATTATAATCAAAATTTTTATTACAATAATTTGAGTCTATAATCAACTTTATAACATTACAAACTTAGGAATTAAAAAAATCTCAAAAGTTAACTCATTGTTACTACCACCCACTTTTTTTTTTTTCTCTTACTCTCTCTCTCCCCGATAAAAAAAAATAAAACAAAAATTAAAATTAAATACTCTATTTCCCTCTCTGTGGTAAAAAATAAAAAAAAAATTGAAATATCTTTCTCGACAATATTAACATATTTTTCTTTTGTCTCTCTCTCACATAAAAAATTAAAAATAAATTAATTTTTTTAAAAAAAATAATAAAAATAAAAAATTTTCATTTAATATTTCTCTTTTAGATCTCAAATTGAATTGAGCCGCCCCAACTACAACTGCCTTGGTATTGCCATTCGTAAACACTCAGTGCTACAGCAGCACAAGCAATGTCATGCTAGAATGCAGGAACATTATTCATTGTTTGCCAAAACGTCTCCACAGAAACTTATTAATATTTCCCCAATCTGACATAAAACCTAACTTGACACCAGCCAACTTCAAAAGGAGCCAAAAAGTACCACATACACTTTTTTTCTTCTCTGTCTAAAATGACATAAGTTCCAATGTACCACAAGTGGGAATCTTTCATGGCTTCCCTTTCGATGTTAAATCATGCACAATGATGTTGGAACATTTTAATTTAATTTTTATTTTATTAAAACATTCTTATAGGTCCTAAACGTGTGGTGCTTTAATCATAAGTTAAAGATTGTCTAACTCAACTCAACTAGAAGTATATAACTTAATTGGTTATACGCGAGGTGTGGTTTCTTTGAGCGGAAGTCTATCACTCTCCTAGGGCTTCTTTAATGGACAAATGATTAGGAGATAAAGTCTTTTATATATATACTAGTCATAATCTGTGCCTGAATGTATGATAGAACAAAAAATTCGAGTCCTAAAAAATCAATATCACTATATTAAATAATAATTTTTTTTCTTCATTTATTTGATTAAATCATTCAAAATTTATTTTTATTCATTATTTTCTTAAAGATATTGACAAAATTTTCTCAAAATATGTAATTCGATAATTTTTTTTAACATATCTATAGTATCGTATATGGATAATATCTGAAATAAAAATTATGTTAACTTATAAATTAATCAAATATTAAATGGTTGAACATGTGATAGAAATGAGTGATGTGATGGTTTGAGGGAAAATGTATAAGGGATAAAATTCAACTTCCTATGTGTTTTATTATATAGATTTGTATAGATATAAGAGAAAATTTTATCTAAATCCCCTGTAATTAGGTCTAAATTTAATGATACTTCATTCCAATTTTGAAATTTCACTGTCACTCCATGTTAGTGATTGTCGGGTTACACCGATAGCAATGATTGATTTATAGAAATATTCTCAAGTATTTTATAGAGTAAATTTTATCCACACTCCTTATAAATAAACTTAACTCTAATAATACTCCTTGTAAATAGACCTAACTTAACAACACTATTTCTTGATTTTGAAATTTCAATGCATTTCCTTGTAGTTCTATTATATTAGCTTTTATTTTGATCAATTTAATATTCAATTTTATCAAATTAATTTTATTTATTTAATTTAAAATAAATTAACATTTTATCTCATCAAATCAACACAAAATTGATATTTAATTTTATCAAATTATCCTTTAGTTATATTAATTTAATATTTCATTTAATCAAATTAATATTATTTCTTTAATTTAATATTAAGTTATTATTAATTTTTATCAAATCAACATCAAATTGACATTCAATTTTATTAAATTAAACTATTTAATTTGTTAAATAGAATATTAAATTCCATTAATTTAAAATTTAACCTTATCAAATTAATGTCATTTTTTTTAATTTAACACCAAAATGAACATTCAATTTTATTAAAACAACATTCAAATTTATTCAATTAACATTAAATTCAATCAAATTAATACTAAATTAATATTTAATTTTCTCAAATTAATATTTAAATTTATCAAAATTAAGATCAAATTTATTCAATTAATATTAAATTTTATCAAATAATTTTAAATTTTATATATGAAGTATGATGTGTGAGAAGCGGTCGGGCGACATTGTGGAGGATATATGATAGCAGAGAAATTAGAAATGGATGACATTGACTTTGACTTTATCGATTGTAATTTTTATTATAGAAAAATCATTTTTAACTATAAAATTATTATGATAAAAAAATATAAAAATTATAAAAACTTGATTATATAACCAAATGAGTGATAATATAATGACTAATATTGTAACAAAGTTATAATACAATGGTTTAAAATAAAAAATTCATTGAGATAATATAATGATTGAAATTATATTTATTGGCCGACTAACACATATATAGTGGGGAAATAATTAATGACATTTTAGTCTATTTACATAATAAAGGGTAATTTTAATATTTTCACAAAATATTTAGTGAAATCATTATTTTATTTACTGATAAAGACAAAAGTTATTGTTATAGGAGTTGTCATTGAATTTAAACTAAACTACATGGTGTTTAGATGAAACTTTTCCTAAATATAACATGTAGATATAGTATGATTTCAATCTTTGTACTATATATATGTACAATAAAGATGTGTGTGATATGAACAATAAAGATCGAGAGCAATGCATTAGGATAGAATTTTGGAGAGACGTGTTTTTCAATTTGGAAAGAGAATCATGAAATATAAGAGTATGAAAGACAGTTAATGTTTCAGTATAGAAAGTGATCCCTTAACATAAGAAATAAAATCAGGAAAATAATGATAAGAGTTGTAATTTATATTTTAGGGAGAGAGAGAGACAGAGTTGAGGAATAAGAGATCGCTTAATTACCAGATTTGATTGGGTTAGAGAATTAAATTTAGGGATGTTAGTTTTGGAAACTAAAAGTTTTGAGCGGCCAAATTTTTTTCAAAGCTAATATGGTACATCGGATCGAAACGATCTATGACGTTAATACCTTGAGACAGTTTAAAATATCGTCGGCCGTTGAATGATGTTTTTTTTGATCTCAAAACGATCTGAACTGTTCTTTGTCTCTTGAATTCAAAATCGTTGTACTTTATATATATATATANATATATATATATATATATATATATATATGTGTGTGTGTGTGTGTGTGTGTGTGTGTGGTAGCCATCCCTCTCTCAATTTACCACTTTTCCATCACTCTTGTGTGCATCAAAGATTGAGGTAGAACACCACTTTTTTCGATTAAAGCTACAAGAAAACAAGAGGTCGCTATTGTTATTAAGTTTGATCGTCAAAATCACGATTTATAGATTTGTCGACTACCTTTATTAAATTTAAGATGATTATTAGATTTGATTATGTAGCATATTTTAGATCCATATTTATTAGGTTTGATAACCCAACAAAAGAAATCACATCAAGTTTAAGTATTTTCTTAAGTATTCTTCTACAAAGGGTGACCAATGGATTAAATGGCAGCCTCCTCTAATGGGCTGGCTGAAAGTTAATATTGATGGGGCATGCAAAGGAAATCCGGGGGCTTTTGGAGGTGGTGTTATTATCAGAAATCAAGATATCCAAATTCTTTTAGTGGCTTCTAATAACTATGGGATTTGTACTAATTTAGAGGTGGAATGTCGAGCTTGCATGGATGCTATAGAGATTATTTGTGACCTCGGATTAAGGGATTATTATAGAGTCAGACTCTAACATCTTTGGTTGATATGTTGTATCAGTCAACTCCTCCAAATTGGAAATTATGGTATTTGTGGCCGATGATTAAGGACTCCCTACAATCTTAGGATATTATCATAACTCATGTTTTTAGGGAAGGAAATATGGTTGTTGATTTCTTAGCCAATAAAGGGGTAAGAGATGAGTATTTTTGGAGAGACTTTCACTATGATAAGCTACCTTTACAAGGTAGGTTGCTTATTCTCCATGACTCCTTACAATATGGTAATATTCGTAAAGGCATGTGAAATTGGATCGCATTGGAAGATATTCTTTAAAGCTGTTGCAGAAGATTTTTTCGACCTCATCTTTT